CTGAAGAGCAACTGCCCTCTTGATCACCTTACTCAAAAATGGCAGCAAAGATACAGGCCTATAGTCCCAGAGACATTTTTAAAGCACTGCAAGGGATAAGTGGCAGGAAAGAAGGAAAGTTAATGTTTTTTGAAGGAGGAGGAGGAGACCTTTTGAGAGCTAAATGTTTGGCACTGTAGGCTGAAGATTAGGAGTGAAATAGAAGATAACTAGCACTTTGAACTGTGCCCAGAAATAAATGAAATAGAGATAGAAATTTAAAGTGGAAATGAAAAGAGAAAAGATGTCCAGCAATACAAAATTTGTCTCACAACTCTGGGATTTTTCAGTGTCCCCACAAAGATAGAAGTTATTTCAAAGCTTTTTTGAATGGGGTGGTGTAAGAGAGTCAGTGCAATGTCCTGGGAGTGGTCTATTGTTTTAAACTTTTGGGTTTTAAAAGTGATTTTTATCTTTTAAAAATTGTATTCTACTTTTAAATGAATGATCTTTTAATATTGTAATAGTTTAATACCATTTTAAATATCAACTTTGTAGGTTTTTAATTGTACTGTGTTTTTTAGACTGTAAGCCACTTTGGGTCCCAGTCTTAGGAGGAAAGTGGGATAGAAATACTAATACTAAAACTAATAATTGAAGGCACACAACAACAAGAATTAACCACAAAGTGGATTTCCCATAACTTACCTTTAATTCTTCACAAGATATTGAGAACTGATGAATAAGATTGAAAACAATTGAATCAGCACAGTGAAAGGAGAGGAACTGTCCTGCTTCTTGCCTCCTGTTCTTTTAAGTGTGTGACTGCTTGTGCTGTTGATGGTTGCCTGTTGTAATGTTTAGCACTTTTGACCCCAGGAAATGACTTAATATAGTCCAATTTCAGTGCTTCGTGGACTCTTTGGAATGTAGCCAGAACCCAATAAAATTCCATGTTATGTCCTCTTAGTACCGGGCTGCAGGAGAATATTTCAAAGTCCACCTGAGTCTCTGAGTGATCGTGATCATTGCAGTCCAGCATCTGGACAGTAAAGCAAGTAAAGCTTGCAACTATTTTCTGGTTCCAACAAAATATTACAAGCTGTGTCCTTTGGTCCTTGCTCTTTGGCTAGCACTAATGGCTCTCACCTACAGCAAGGTTTGTGTTATCAGAGAAGCCAGGAGAATCAATATAAGCTCAATCTGGATTGATGGGTGAAAAACCTTCCTTTCCAATATATAGTAAGCAGACTTTCTCTGAATATGACTCAGAACGTAGACAGTATCCTAGCTTTGTAAATTAGGTCCTAAACACACTGCAGAAATAATCCAGTTTGAGAGCACTTTAACTGCCATGGCTCAGTGTGAGGGAATCCTGGGAATTATAGTTTATTGTGGTACCAGAGCTCTCTGACAGAGAAGGCTAAATGTCTAACAAAACTCGTGTTTTGTATATTGTTTGTATCCAGGCTGAAAAGGTATCTCCAGAATCCATTAATTCCAATATTTTTTTCATGAAATTCCAATTCACTTCATCAAACACTTTTTCTGTATCTAGAAAAATGAGTGCAACTTTTTAACTGGGAATTTTTTATCATAGTATTCTATTAAGTTTATTATAGTCCTTATATTTTATTTCATATGTCTTTTGGGAAGAAAACCAAATTGCTCTTCTTGTATTTTTTCTTGTAGTATTTTCTTTAATCTCTTTGCCAAAATCATTGCAAATAATATATAATCATTATTAAGCAAGGAAATAGGTCTATAACTTTGTGGTAAGGATAGTTCTTTTCCCATCTTAGGTATAAGCACAATATTGTCTTTTGTCCAGGAGTCCGGTATTCCTTCACATTGAATTTCTTTAAACAGTGCATGCAGAGGTGTACTTATCTCATTTAGCAGAGTTTTATAATACATAGCCGTTGTACCATCTGGCCCTGGTGCTTTTCCTTGTTTCAGTCCTTTTATAACCTCTATCACCGTCATCACTGATATTCCTGCATTTAGATATGCTTTTTGTTCCTTATTTAGTCTTTCTGGCATGTATTTTTGTATATATTCCACTGCACTCTTATTAAATTCCTCCCTGTTACTTCTTGCTGTGTATAAATTTAAATAGAATTTCTTGAAAACTTTATTTTGTTCAGTTCTGTGACATTTCTACCCCCGTCTTTTATCTCTAATATCAGCCTTTTCTCCTTATGCGCCTTAATTTTGATGCTAAAAATTTCCTGGGTTTATTCCCTTGCTCAAAATACTTCTGTTTTATAAATCTGAGTTTCTTCTCTGTTTCTTCTGTAGTTAAAGATGCTAATTGTGCCTGGAGCATTTTGATCTCTCTCATTATTAAAGATGGTCAAAATGAGGATAAAATAAGAATTCAAGACTGGTAATAGTAGAAAATGATTTGGGAAAATTGACTCCATGGCAAGAGATAAGAAACAGGATACATACTATGCTCACCCAGATATAAAATTAAACTAATGACTAAATATAATGTATGGTATGCTATAAAGGAGGAGTAAAGGAAGAATACTTGTATAGATAAGCTTGATGAATAGTCAGAGTTACAAACGAGTTTGAAGAGGATAGAAGACAGAAGACACAAAGTTATTTTATGTTTGATATGTATTTGTGTTGTTTGTTTATGGTATGTATATTTGTTAAATAAAATTTATAAAAAAATAAATAAATGTCTAACAGAACTACAGTTTCCCAGGATTCCCTAGCACTGAGGCAGGGCAGTTAAAGTGGCCTGAAACTGGTTTATTTCTGAAGTGTGTTTTGGACCTTTGTTGAACAAAGAGTTATTTTAGAAGGAAGCAAGGAGCCCTTCTTAAGTTTTGTGTGTGTGTGTGTGTGTGTGAGGGCTCAACTCTGGCACACAGGTAATTATGAATTTAGCTTAATTTGCCTGTGTGACTATTTAGAAACACAAAATGTATGTGTGTGCATGCCTTCAGGTTGCCTGCTGATGTATGATGATCTCATTAATTTCATAGGTCTGCCATGTAACAGGCAAGTAATACTCAGAGGTGGTCTGCCATTGCCTTCCTTTGAAATATAACCTACCACCTCTGATATTCTTTTATGGTCCTCCCTCTTGTACCCTCCGATATTTCACAGATCAACTCTGGGACAAGCATATCAGAGTGCAGTCATGATGGCAAAGGTTATTTATGAGGATGAGCACTCAGGCTAGGAGAGGCTGCAGCAGCTTGCTTTTGCCTGAGTTGACTGGCAAGGGCAAGATTCTGTCGCCTTACTCCTCTCCCCCTGCAGAGTTAATGGAGCGCAAACTACTTTTGCACTTTAAATTTAGTTTGTAACAATTGAAATAAGACGAGGACAATGGAAGGAGGAAATGTTGAAGGACGAGATCGAAACTGTGACATTGTTAAAACAGCTGAAAAAGTGAGATGACAAATGTTTAATCAGGACTGTCCCAGCCAAATTGGGACAGTTGGAGAGTATAAAGCTCTGGTCATAGATAGTGTAGCAGGTATCTGCAAATACAGTAGTGTTCAAAGGTGGTGGCAAGCCCACCCCCCAGAGGCTACTCATTACATTGGTAAAAAATTCAAAACCACCCATGCTCCACTTACTTTGGTGGAGACAAAGGGACTAGATTATGACTAGGATGAGGGAGACATTGCATCTGTAGAATCCAAAGCTCTTCCATTCACTCACCATACCGTCAATGGCAGACATATGCCAGTGCTGGAGCTGGCATATTTTTTCCCCTTCAATAGTCCTTATGCCACTTAAGCTGGTTATAGTAGAAGGTGGCTAAGTCAATCCTATCAATTCTATTGCAAATTCTCATTCTACTTCCCCTTGACTGCTCAGCCAGCAAAAGCCAATTTTTGTTTCCAGTTTTGTTTTTCTTAGCATCTACATATATTTACTAGTTTATCTTTGCACATGTAGGATTGAAGACTCTGGTTATCATTATGTATCTTCAAGTCATTTCCAACTTATGGTGACACTGTGGTTTTCTTGGCAAGATTTATTCAGGTGAGGTTTGCCTTTCTCTTCCTCTGAGGCTGAGAGAGTGAGAAACCCATTACTGAGTGGATTTCTATGGCTGATCAGGGATTTGAATGCTGGCTCCAGAGCTGTAGTCTAGTGTTCAAACCACTACACAATGCTGGCTGTCCTCATTAAAGAAAATGCACTGGCAAAATATAATAAATTGGCTTTGTGTACTGGAAGCAATTTATGATTTTCTTTACAATAGACAATTTTGGAACCATGTTTTATTGTTTTAAGGTCTTAAGATTTTTAATACGTATTTTTGGGCTGCAAGCTGTTCAAATGATCAAATGAATAATAGTATATTTACGAATTTTATAGAAATGAATTATTATACTTGATAAATATATTGTGTAACAATCTAAAGAGGAAGTAATTAATTATTTTCTACCAGGAAGTAAAAGAGTGGCATGTTTTCTTTCTAAATGGAAAGAAAAGATTATGGAGTGATTGTGGTAGCACAAACCAAATGATAATTTATTTGAAAAAAATATGAACCCTTAAAGAAATGTCACGAAAAAGAGCAAGGAGGAGAATTTTACAGTTGAGAATTTTAGCTTAATTCTTGCTTTAGGACTTTTTAAAAAAGAAGATGAAGGTTGTGAACTATAAAGTATATGACAGCAAAGACATTTTAGGAAAGCAATTTCATGCAGCAGGGAAAGGCTGGTAAATATAGTATATTTAGATGTTAAGGAAAGTGGCAGCTCTTCCACATTTCAGAAATAAAGCAGTTTGATACCACTTTAACTTCATAGCTCCATACTGTAGAATCCTGGGATTTGTAGTTTGACAATGTATTCAGCCTGGTCAGTCAGAAAACTATATTTCCTCACCAAACTACAAATCCCAGGATTCTTTAGGATAGAGCCATGGCAGTTAAAGTGGTGTCAAACCCATCTGGATTTCCTCATAGTTCAAATTTACTTTTATTGTTTACCATCAGAGAGGAAGAAAAAAGGAGTCACTGAAGGTTCCAAGAAGTAAGAGCAAATAGAGCAAAACATAAGTCAATACAAGGACTTCATAGATCTGGAGCTGCCTGTTTAATTCTGATTATGATTGTATAGTACGGGGGTTCCCAACCCTTTTGACTCATGGAGCCCTTATTTTTATGGCAGAGCCGCTAAGAGGCTTACCCTATGTCTTACAAATTAATGGTGTTTTGGGGTATATATATAAGAACTTATTTTTATTCTTTAATTTAATTCAATTATTATTTTTTCATTTCCTTATATAAGAAAACCCAGCCATCTGCTTCTTTTCTATAAAGCAATCTTGGTTTATCTTGGAAAAGAGTGTTGAGGATACCATGGACAGCCAAAAAGACAAACAAATGGGTCCTTGAACAGATCAAGTCTGAAATTATCCTGGAAGCCAAGATGATCAAGCTGAGGCTGTCATACCTTGGTCACATCATGAGAAGGAATTAATCACTGGAAAAGACAATAATGCTAGGAATGATAGAGGGTAGTAGAAAAAGAGGAAGAAGGCATTCCAGATGGATTGACTATATTGGGGGGGTCATGGGTATGAATTTGCAGGACCTAAGCAAAGCAGTGGATGATAGTGAGTCTTGGAGAGGTTGCCATTGATTTGATTTGAAGGTGGCTAACAACAGCAACAACAAGAACAACAACAACAACAATCTTTATTCAGAGTGAAAGGTCAGAAGGCATGGGAAAGCTCATGAATTCTTTTACAGCCGATCAGACAATTTTCATAATTGGCTAATAATTTACATATCGGCATTGATATGTTAAACATTGCTCCAGGAAGATTAGAATCCTTTGCACAGTAATTTCTGTGAACTATAAAGATAAGAAAAGGTTGGGCCCAAGGAGAAAGCAGCACTTCCTGCTCCCAGTCAACTTCTATACTGAAGGCAGGAGATATCTTCACTGTATGTATCTTTTCGGTGCTCCCTGTCCCCTTTGGGTGCCCCCTTCAAATGACTCTTGAGTTCCTTAGATATACAATTGATCACATTTCCTTAGCTATATGAATGGAACAGAAAGAGAAAGTGAAGTAAATGGGACAGCCAGTGAAGATTTGGCTGCATCTTTTCTAGTTCTGCCCTCTGCTTGGGATATGTGGTATGGGGATATGTTTCCCAGTGTTTCTTGATCCCCTGAATACCTGATATTGTAGAAGTCTGCAGATTGCGCCTTATGAGGGGGTATTGTAAAGTAATAATTATCACCCAGAAGTTATTATGGTATATTGATGAAATTTTGTCAGTGTCATCATTGGTCCCTAAGTGCATGATGTGGAGAAAATCAGTTCATTGTGTCCTTTATTTTTGTGACAGGTTGTGTCAGAAGTGATTAAAATGTAAAATCCTTGTAAAGCATGATCTGCAGACTTCTACAATAATGGTATTCGGAGGGTCAATAAACTCTGGGAAAAATGTGTAAATCTGGATGGTGACTCTGTAGAGAGAAGTTAACAACTGCAAGTTAAAACAAACTTTCTGTCAATTTTTTAAAAAGGTGATAATTAAAACTTTACGATACTTCCTCATACATGTTACATTTTTCAGTAAGTCCTGTGCCTATCTACAAAACACATCCAACAGGTATGTCTAGTACAAGGTCCAACCTTTACATCCACTACAGTACCTGTCAGAACATTAGGTATGTCCAGTAAGTTCATCAACAGGGAACAGTAACAATTCTGAAGGTTTCCCCCCCCCC